GCCACAAATGTATAAAAACATTTATTGGATTTGAACGCGGCGAGCTGACATGCTCATCAACTGCTGGACAAAATCGGAGAGATCGAGGGACTTCGCGATAGCCTTCTCGATGTATATCACCATCAAGTCGGCCATCCAGTCTTCGCTCATGCTGGTGCGCAGCCGCGTCTTCAAGATTTTCATGGCGGAGATTGCGTGCTCGGTGGTGGCCGTAGAGATCGGGAGAGTCAAGATCAGTCGAATGAGCTTATACAACTGAGGAAATATGCTTACAAGTTTGTGCTTGTAGAAAACGATGCTCAGTTGCTTCAGATTAGATTTGACTGGTTCAAATACGGCGGCATTCTCCTCGTCACCTGTGAACATGACAAACTCAACAAGTTCCTGTTTAAGCGAAGTCAGATCCAGCTCTCGAAAATCGGCCTTGTACATTGCCGCCAACTCAATGATCTGCTCTTGATTTAACTGGTACGATTCGAAGTTGTCAACTGGGTCGAGGTAAGGGATCTTACTGAGCAGTTCACAGGCATCGGGAGAAAAACGATGGTTGAGTTCCGCTAATGTGGAGTCAACAACAGCATTAAACAAGTCATAGGTTTTTACCCTTTCAACTGGTACAAAAACTGACACCTTTATACAAGGCATCATGTTTGCAATAACCACAACACAAGCAGTCAAAATGCAAACAAAAAGAAACAACTCTGATGATGATAATGATATGCACTGTCCTTGAAGTGACGCCTTTTGGTGTCATCTGGTCCAACACCAATGGAGACTAGGCTCTAAGAAAAGCTGTTTCGGGTGTGGACCAATCAACTTCAAGGCAGTACAGCAAGTGTGGACTAATCTCCATCTTGTCTTCTGTATAGGATAGAGTTTTGACCCCTTGCCCATGTGTTTTTCAGGTGCTCCATTAGCTTGCTGTTTAACTAATGTGTTATTATTTTTATTGACCTGCTTGTGTTGACACTCTGCAGGCCGTCTGTCGCGAGTGAGCGGATGTTCATCCGCGAAGCTCTTGCAAGTGAGATGCCCCCTGCATTCGCCTCAACACCAGCGACGTCCAGCAGCTGCCCGCTTACTGCGCTCACCTTGTCTCAGCAGGAGATAGTCAATTCGTTCGCAGAAAAATCCCACATGACACCGAAGTGGTCACAAAGGTGGGCGAGAGCACGTGGGACTCTCTTACAGCCACACACATGTGCACACACGCATGATGTCATGCTTCATTGCAAGAGTAATCAGACACAGTCCAGCAGGAGCCATTTATTCTGCCAAACCCTTAGAGGGGCACCAGGGTATTTGGACTCGGGACTGTTACGTCCTTCCTGCCCCTTCACTCCCCCCTACCCCTTTTGTCCACAGCTAGAGGAAAGCGTCAGTCATTTTGTAAAGATTATTAAGGAGACAATGTACGCTTGAGGTGGCTTACTCCGGTCCCGAGTTTAAACGAAAATTTTTTGTACGTTTCAACAATTTTTGTACAAACACATGGCCATAAAGTCGACTCGAGTGAGGGGCTTGACGGTGCATCTCTGCTGAATTTACCCCGTGATCTCGCGACAGCACTATTCCAAGCGTGCGGCTCCCATAGGGAAGCGAGCCAAACGGCACTGTGTAATGGGGCTGCACGGTCGATTCTCACCGGGAGCTGGCATGAACCCGTTTCAGGTGGCCATAGGAATCTGGTCCACAGCAGGCCTAGACTTGCAAGCTGGACTGTGGAAACAAGGCACTGACGTTCTGTTTGCCTCCTGTCTGCGCTCGCCTCCACAGATGCCTGGAGCAGAACAATTGGGATTTCTCCAAAGCGGCCGACGACTTCATCCACCTCTACGTGAGTACCGCGCCGCCCGCAATCCTGACCGACACACGTAATCGCAATTGCACCGGCGTGTTCACATTTTGGCGACCGTCGCTAATGATGCCGCTTGTCTCCCTCTCCACTCTGCTCCCACCTCTCCTCATTCCCTCATCGCAATCGCTGCTCCGGTTTTGGCTGCGGCTCCTGCACGGTCGCCAATCATCGTTTCCGTCGTCAGGAAGCAGGGAAGATTCCGGGGGAGGCGTTTCTGTGATGAGGCGTCATCCAGAACCAGCGCCCCACCAAATGGACCCTGACCACAACATTTATTTTTGTATCAAAACCGTGATTTTCTGTATTATAAATGTAAATACATATTCATTATATTATACATTTTGGCTGTAGTTGTGACATAAAAAAAAAAAGCGTTCTTGTTTGGTGACTGAATTTAATGGTGTATCTCTCTGGATCGCGGTGTACTCAGTACAGACCGACCTCGCTTAGCGCTCACTTGAAGAATCAGTTTCCAACACCCTTATTACTTAAGTATGAGGGCTTCATTGGGGTATTGGTAAAAGCGATAATACAGATTGTAACCATTTTATACAATTTTATTATAGCATCAGTATTATGTACTGTACCTCATTTTAAGGCTGAGTCTACCTCGTGAAGGCCCAAGACCTGTTAAAATATGCACCACTGTTATTGGTATTAAGTGGGCATTGAACTCCATTTGCCAGGTTCACAGAACAGTGCGCTAACCACTGTGCCACCGGTCCCCATGAAGTTATTCCCCAACAACAGCAGCCGCTGCTCACCACTAAGTGGTGGTGATGTCACCACAACGCCTGCACCATGAAAGGCGTATTTTGAGGCCACGTATAGTGTCGAAGGCTCACTGGTAGTTAACGGAACAGATCCAAGTGCCGTGGGTTGACTGAGATGTCTGACAAATGCACCACCTGTGCCCCTTACTGTCCCAACTTGCTGCACTGTGCTCGCGGTTGTAAGCATCGCTCCTCTGCCCTCTGTTGTTGGTAGAGGCTGACTGCCTACATCTCCCCAGAAGCGTCCTTCACGAACCTCCTCCACAGAGGCCGGTCTTGACACCGCTGATACCGGTCACCAGCAAGTCCAATCTACTCCACATCCTTCTGTACCCCCTCAGTCCATCTCTTATCTGGCCTGTGCCACACCCATTTAGGCGCCCCCTCTGATTAACAAGAAACTGCTTGGGCCTGCGGTGGCTGGGCATGCAGGCTACTTGACCCCACTCAAGTCATCATCCACTCACACACATCACAAAGACAAAGATCCCACGTAAAGCCTTAACAGACTTTTGGGGAAAGTGCTGTTAGCGAGCACACACTCACACAATCGCCAACACTCACATCGCATTCAGTTGGCTGACCAGACGATTATGTAAGGTGGGTGTCATTGTGCCAGAGGGTGACATCATGATATCTGAACAATTAACATGTGTAACTACATATCCATTACCCACGTGTATCACGTAAGGAGGTGTGTTCCCTGGTTAGTCTGCCCCTGGTAATGGTTTAGTTTTAATAGTTTTAGATGGAAGGATTGGACCAACAATCTCGCAAGTCCTGACATTTACTTTTTTTACATAAATGAGATTATTTAGGAATACATTTGTGATTATTAAAGGGTTTATTGGTTACTCAGGAGCTATTATTAGGTTACTATTCAGATGCCAAATTAAAACTGTTCATCAGGGAGAATATCTACATTTAATTCTCATCATGTCCCATGGTGTACTCAATTGCAGCCTACAACTCTGATTATGCACTTAGTATCTATGGTCTCTGTATATGCTATGAAAAAGGGTCGTTGCCTGAAACGTTGCCTATCATATACTTTTCTAGGCCACAGTGTTATGGACAACTGGAGTTTTTCATAATTGAATGACTATGTGGTCAAGTCAGGTTACTGGGTGATATGTGATTGAGTCGGTCAGTAATTTAAATGCATGTGAGGTGGATGGGTTTTTTAAGCGAGCGATTGATGGAACGGTGCGAGTGAGTGAAATAATAAATAACTGAGTGAGTATGGTGAGTGCGGAATGTTTGAATGAGTGGGTAGTGAGTGGTGTGCATGAGTTTGTTAAGAAAGACAAGCAATGCGCAAATTAATGAGTGAGGTAATGGAGTAAACACGAGTGATTTAGTGAGTTTGTCGATAAGCAGTTGGGTGATTAGATGAGTAGAATGAGCGTGAGTGAAGGAACAAATCAGTGAACTGCTGAGTGAATGGGAAATGAGTGAGTAGGGTAAGCATGTGAATGAGTTTTCCTCACTGAGTGTTCATATTTAGTGGAATATTTGCTCCCAGACTCACATTAAAGGGCTGAGAACGAGGAAGGGGACATACTGAGATGGGCAGAGCACGGGGAGGAGAGGGGAGAAGGATTACTCGAGGCAGGGAAGGAGGGAGACAAGGGGGTGAGAATGAGGATACGTAGTGATGAGAGGACAGCGAGAAGAAAAGACACAGGGAGGACAGGGAGATAGGCAGACATGACACGTGGAGGAGGAGACATGGGGAAGAGGATAGGGATACAAGGAAGGAAGAATCGGGGAGAAGGCAGACATGAGGGGTATGGAGGCACAGGGAGTAGATGGATGCACGAGAAGAAGATTTTTTTTATAATCACGTAATAAAGCTATGCTATAGGTGAATGCAGTAAGACCTGTGTGTGGTATATAAACACAGTTGAGTCAGGTGATGTGCGAATGTCTGTACCTCATATTCTCCAGGTTCTGGGCCGGGTTGATCGCTCAGGAAAGTGGTCCTCACGGGACACCAGCAGTCAGGCGAGGGCAAGCCTGAGGCCTCGGTTCATAATGGCCAGAGCCTGGGTAAATGGTCAGAAGTGGTCAATATCACGCGATAATAAATGTACAGAATTAAAGCTTTCGTGACTGCAGCGATTCATCTTCTTGGTTCTTTCGGTAAAGTCACGTCGAAGGGAAATAATAAAATTATAAAAATAAACGTAATAAAATAAAATTCTCACGACGTTTCGGCCACAACGCAAGCAGCTGTCGGAAAGACAGCCCTGTTCTTCACCTGAGGACGGCTGCTTGCGTTGTGGCCGAAACGTCGTGAGAATTTTATTTTATATTTAATTTTTATTATTTTATTATTTCCCTTCTACGTGACTTTACCGAAAGAACCAAGAAAAAATATACCATTAAAGGTTCACGAGAAAAAATAGTAAGTCGGTCTATGGAGTATGTGATTGAGTGCTTGTGTCAATGATTTATTATTCAGTGGGTTTATTAGTGTATACGTGGGTTATGGAGTGGGTGGGTAGGTAAGCAAGCCATGGACTGATTGAGCGAGAGAGTGAGTAGGTCGTTGAGCCAGTAACTGAATAGTATTAAATTGGGTTAGTGAGCAGGCAAGTGCGGTGGGTGTGCGGATGTGTGAGTGAAACGAGTTGGTGACTCGTGAATTCCCACCTGGAATGCCCTTCTGTCTGGGCACTGGAGACCTCTACAGCAGTGAGCTGGGCAAAGGCGTTGAAGTCCGAGTACGATGGGTGCCCGGTTTTTTCTCTCTCCACAACTCCACTCACATCATAGTAACCAGGGCCAGGGATGTCCTGCAAAGGAGGTGAGAGATGTTTTGGAGATGGCAACACTTCAAACACTCACACGACTACCCCTAAAATAGGTCGTAGCCCTACCCTCTATGGGTGTCACGGTAGCAAAATTTGAACTACCTCGCCTGGTATAAAGAAGTCGTGGATTCGTTCCCGACCTTGACGTCTGCATATTTGGAGTTTGCGCATGTTTTCCCAATAGTCATGTGGATTTTTCTCGGGTCCTCCAGTTTTCCCTCTACATTTAGAAACATGCGTTTAGAGTATTAGGCTGCTATAAATATCCACGTGAAAATCCACTTCGTTAAGCTACATTTGCGGCAGTCATTTCTGAAAAAGATCTGTATAGCTCAGTGAGCCTTACCTGGCAAAATAACAAGTTTAGTTACATTTTAGCTTAAACCCTACCTTTTAAGTCCTAGGAGCTACTGTTTGTATTGTAAGACAATTAATACAAATCTTAACCGATAACTAGCCATTCCTCTAGCCACACAGCCCCATGACTCTAACCCCAACTCACCTGGTTAATGTCAAAAGTCATGGGGAATTGGACAGATGTCAAAAGTCGTGGGGATTTGGACAGAAAAACGGAGCAAGCCGCCATTGTGAGTTCCCGAGTCAAGTACAGACACCTACATGGACACCGAGACACGAGACAAGGAAATAGACATGACACATTCAGTTGTAGACTTAGGTATAGGACATCATGTGCAAGATATTATTCTAGATTGGTTACATACCACTGGGATTTTCTCTAGGTCCTCCAGTTTTTCGCTCCACATTTACAAACATGTGTTTTAAGAGTATTTTGGTGCAATAAATGTCGACATGACAAGCCACTTGTCGTTGAGCTATCCTTTGTGGCCAGGTCAATTCGGAAAAAATAACTACGTAGCTCATTGGGCCTAACCTGGTCAAATAAAAAATAGTTAAAAAATTTGGTTTTTAAATAAAGCATGTCAACCACAAAGAGAGTATGCATCTTATTATGAGGTTCTATGCTTGAGCATTCATATTCATGAAGTCGGTAATATTCTCGAGAAAGGTTTATTAAATAGTGAAACCTCCCTGTGCCTGACTAATTTGGAAAGCCTTTTTGGTTATGAGGAATGTCTGGAATTCTGCAAATCCTTCAATAAACATTATTATTAAAATACAATCTGTTACTATAAGGTGAATTATATTCACGCGTAATTACAACTCGCACACTTCATGAACATGTCACACGTTACAAAACAACAAACTAAACAATTACAAATTTAACTCCCCCAACACACCGATGTGTTGGAGAGTAATATTGGTCGCAAAAGCCTACGTGCTAACCGAAGGTAAGATAAATGTGAAATAAACAAAAGCGGGCACGGACAGCGATGAGACAGATCACGTGGACGCTTCGAAGCACAGAGCCCATGGGTTCGTAAAACTACGCAAGCGCAGATTTGACCTGCACACAGCTTTAGAATTGAAACCAGGGCCATCCTTCGGGGGTGTACGGGGCCCCGGGGGAAAATCACACACCGTGTGAGCCGCCCCCAATGCTGTTTGGTCTCCGTTGTGCATTGCTGCTGTGACATTATTATTGTTTGAGTGTTACAGTTGTGGTGTTTGAATGTTTTGATTCGGCATTGTTGTGGCTGTCTGGTCGTTGTTGTTGTTGTTACCTGGTGTTTGTTGCTGTGGTTGTTGGAACCTCGCCCCCGATTGACTAAACAGGGCTGACTCGGTTGCTGCCAGTGACAGCTCTGGTTTCCGTGATGACGGAAGTAGGAGGCAGGGCTGCGAGTGGAGCTCACG